GGGTACCAGTCCTAGCTTAGGGTGCCTGCTGGGTGTGGCAGGTTGGGAGCCACTTTGGAGGGGGCCTGCTGGGGCAGGTTTGCAAGGAAACGATGGAATGGGGTCAGTGGTGCTGGCAAAGAAGATGGAAAGTGTCAGAACTGGCACCTACCCACACCGGGCCAGCTAGGTAGGAGGGCAAGAAAAATGGAGCCTGCCAGTGCTTCCATACCTGGATACAGTTCCTACTTCTTATTGGTCCAACATCATGTTCCGTGGGCATTCAAAGGAGAACTAAAGTTAAATGGACTTTCTTTTCTTACTCTCCATCAGTTGTTTGTAATCACGCTATTCTTCGGTTTGCTTCAAGCTTAGATCATGACTGTTTTATAAAGCTTTTTTTTTTTTCCAGCTTTCTTGGAGTTTCAAATTGCTTTTATTTTTTAAAAAAAGATTTTTATTTATTTGAGAGAGAGAGCGAGAGCATGCACAAGTGGGGAGTAGAGGGAGAGGGAGAAGCAGACTCCTGGCTGAGCAGGGAGCACAAAGTTGGGGTCGATTCCAGGACCCTGAGGATCATGACCTGAGCTAAAGGTAGATGCTTAACTAAGCCACCCAGGTGCCTCTCGAATTGCCTTTTTTTTTTTTTTAGAACTTGTTCATATAGAATGCTGTGCTATAAAACATACCCTCCAGTTTCCCTGTTCTCAAATATAATAGTACTGCATGGAATAATTCCTCCTCTCCCTATTCCCCTTTATGAAGAACCTCTAGAGAAATCCCATCACCTCTTCTATTCTGGACTGGCTGTTCTTCAGTTGCCATCTAAGGTCTTCCTTACACTGATTCTCACTGGTTGAATCCACTATTCTATGGATCTCATGTATTCCTCTTTGTTAGGTTTACTTCATTTTTTAAAAGATTGATTGAGTGATTGATTGATTTAGAGAGAAAGCACTTGTATGTAAGTGCGGGGGAAGGGCAATCCCAAGCAGACTCAACTCCTCACTGAGCAGTGAGCCTGGTGGTGTGGGGCTCCATTCCACAACCCAGAGATCATGACCTGAGCCTAAACCAAGAGTCAGACACTTAATCAACTGTGCCACCCAGGTACCCCTTGTTTTACTTAATTCGATATATATTCAAGTAACTAAGAAAATAGGGAGATAAACTTTCTGAGTTTTTAAATGTCTTTATTCTAACCTCATATCTGACTGATAGCTTGCCAGGATATTGGAAATCTGACTTCAAATCCATTTCCCTAGAGTTAATAATGAGAATCTAATACCACCCCAATTTCTGTTGTTATTAAAGGGACCTGGTTTTTCTCTCTGGAAGCTTTTAGTATTTGTTTTTATTGATTTTTTTTTAAATTTTGAGATGACATGTTTGTTTCTTTTACTTGGCTTTTTTCGATCAAAAGACTTGTATTATGTATTATTTCTTTACTTCTGTGGGCAGGACTGGAGGGAGCATAAGAGGCTAGGGGGAGTGTCAAGTTCTATTTTTGTTTATTTGCTGGTTACACAGGCATGTTGTGTTTCCCCCACAGAGAGAAACAGGGATCCCAAGGAATCTTACTGGGTTCTAGTTCTTTGTACCCATCTTATCATCCCAATCTAATTCTCTCCATTTTGTAATTATTTCTGTGATTTCTTTCTCTCCCTTCTTTCTTCTCCAGACTCCAGTTAGTTGTTGAAATTTTTGAATTGGCCCTTTATGTCTCCTCTTTCCCTTTCTCCTTAGCTTTCTCTCCTTCCCTGTGAGATGTCCTAAACTTTAGTTTTCAGGACTTATGACGAAATTTTAAATTTTGGTAAATTTAACTTTTTTTTTTTTAAAGTAGGCTCCACTCCCAGCATGGAGCCCAGTGTGGGGCTTAAACTCACAACCCTGAGATCAAGACTTGAGTTGAGATTAAGAGTCAGACACTTAACTGACTAAACCACCCAGGACTCCTCTACATTTTAAAATGCTAACAACTCTTTCTGGTTAGCTTTCTGTTTTCATAACATTCTATTCTTATTATATAATCTCTCTGAATATAATAATGTTTATAAAGACTTTATTTTTTAGAACAATAAAGAAAAATTGAGAAGACAATACAGAGTTCCCATATGCCCTACATTATATTAGCATTTGTTATAATAAGTCAACATTGATACATTATTATCATGTATGAGAGACATGTATGAGAAACAATACTTTATTCACATTTACTTAGATTCTGCCTAATAACCTTTTTCTGTTCCAGGATCCTACCCAGGATCTCATATTCCATTTAGCTGTCATATCTCCTTAGGCTCTTTTTGGCTTTAACAATTTTGCAAACTTTGTTTCTGATAACCTTGATAGTTTTGAGGAGTACTGGCCAGGTACTGTCTAGGGTGTTTCTCTACTGAAATTTGTCTTAGCATGCTTTATGGTTTGTTATTTTGTTTATGCTTTTGAGTAAATGCCAGGATGCACTTTACTTTTGGGAACCAAGTAGGAAGTCAACTGGTCCCTTGTTCTATATACCAACCTTCAATGAATCCTCATTTCTAATACTTCCCATCAGAACTGCCAACCCTGAGTTTATTGCTACTCTGGGATCCTGCTGAGAGAATAGAGAAGAGTAGCTCACTTCTCTACTGTGGCCCATATACAGCCCCTCATTTTGGGTTGTGATTTCCTTAGCCTGCTTCTACTTTCTATCTTATAGAAATTGGAAATCATTTTTTTTCTATCCCTCTCTACCATTCCATTCATTTTCATGTGTTTATTTCCTTTAAATTCCTATACTTTAAGTTCAGAGAAGTTTGGGACAGAATGAGAGAACAATGTATCTATTCAGTCTGTCAACTTTTACCTGAAGACTGCACAAGTCTACTTGTTCAAGAAAAAGAAAATTTCTCCTAATAAATGACGTATAAATGTCTTCCAAGTCATAATTACAGTTTTGTTATTGTTTGTAATTATCTTGATATGGGTTTAATTTATATTCCTGTCAGAGGTTTTATTAAAGATTCTAATAAAACTCAGTCAGGAATAGGGTACCCAGAGAAAAAAGAAGTCACTGATATAAACCTTTCATGAAGAGACTATGTGGAGAGTCATGGGCAGGTTAAAGGAAAACACGAAGGAATGATGAGGCACCAGGAACAAGCAACAAAAGGATACCCTTACAATCCCTAGAGCCAGAGGGACTAGGAACTACAGAGAACAAACTGGTGGTTGCCAGAAGGGACATGGGTGGGGGATGGGTAAAACAGATAAAGAGACTTAAGGCTACATTTATCATGATGAGCATTGAGTATACAATTGTTGAATCACTGTACCGTCCACCTGAAACTAATAGAACACTGTATGTTAACTACAGTGGAATTAAAATGAAAAAAAATGAGTAAAAAAATCAATAAAATCATACAGCTTATAACAACAATAAGAACCTGATGTTTTAGTGGCAATACAGTTCAAATATTAAATACTTATGATGTGACAAAACATAAGTAGGAATATATAATGTTGGTGGTACCTGGGTGGCTCAGTTGGTTGGATGTCTGCCTTGGGCTCAGGTCATGATCTTAGTGTCCTGGGATTGAGCCCCGTGTCTAGCCCTATGTTGGGCTCCCTGCCCAGCCCTTCTTCCCCCCTCATGCTCCCTCTCTCAAATAAATGAAAAAAACAAACAAATAAATAAAATCTAAAAAAAAAAGGAATATGTAACATCGGACATTATTATGCATAATGATCCTAATTAAATGTAAAGAACTACAAAGAGTTCTCATTCTCATGAATACTTTTTAAAGGGGAACAATAACATGTAGCACATGAGTCTAAAGATAATTAGGACCATTATGCAAGTTAAGACAAGTCTGAAGACTATGAATGTAAAATAAATAATAACCAAACATGGAAATTTATTACTGTAATTAAAAATCTATGTCATACTGTATTACACATAGAATAGTGGTAACCATTAGGTTTCAGTGACTGGGAGCATCAAGAGCTCTGGGAATACTGGTGAGGTTTGTTTCTTGATCTTGGTGCTGGTTACACAGATGTACTCACATTGAGAAAATTCATTGATTGGTGGCTACACTTATGATTTGTGTTTTTTTGTGTGTATGTGTCCTATTTCAACCAAAAAAAAATTTACCAAAAGTGACAGTAGCCATGAATACAACAAAAACAAAAACAAAAAAACTATGTCAATGTATTTTTATGTCCTTCTTCAGGCATCCTCACTAACAAGTCAACAAGCATTTACTAGAACAGCTAAAACAATGATAAGCATTCAACAGACTTGAAAGACAGACCTTAGCTTCAAGGAATTTGTGATCTGCTTAGGAAAACCAAATATTTAGGGATGCCTGGGTGGCTCAGTGGTTGAGCGACTACCTTTGGCTTAGGGTGTGATCCTGGGGTCCAGGATCAAGCCCCACACTGGGCTCCTTGCAGGGAGCCTGCTTCTCCCTCTGTCTGTGTCTCTGCCTCTCTCTCTGTCTCTCATGAATAAATAAAATCTTAAAAAAAACCCCAAATATTTAGAAATGAAATTAAGAATATTAACAAGTAACATATCAGGCTATGAAGAATGCTACTGTAAGAACAGATCCAGTATTGGTAAGTACCTGAATTTTACTGGAAAGCCTACATATAAACATATAAAATATTTATATCTATATATATGTAAGTATAGATATACTCCCCAATTGGGCTCTTTCTGTTGGGATAGGTCAGCTAGGCCAAGTAGACCAAATGTCTGGTTTCAGAAAGTGTTTCAGTGTTTGCCATGGTTGGGCAAGGGGGAGTACCCCCTCCTTTGCTTCAATGGGAGTAGCCCTGTTTTATCCATTTTATACTATGGGTTCTATGTTTTCATTGAACAAAAGGATTTCATTGTTAAAACGAGTTTAAAAACCACTTTTCTACAAATCCGACTTCTAGATTTATGTATCTTATCTTACAGTGAAAAAAAAATTAAAAACCTCAAACTCTAAAAATAAAACCCATTTTTAGAAGGAAATGAAGATTACCTGAAGTAAAGGGATAAAATCCTCCTGTTCTAGAGAGTTGCAGCTGGGCTTTGCTAGCAGACAGATAAACTTAGAGGCGTCATCATGATGGTCATTCAGCAACCTATAAAAGAGACAACCGCTTAGAAAGACAGCTACTGTGAACAATATCTATAATATCAACAGTTGGTAATTGCAGCCTGAACTGAAGGCCGTTTAGATCCAGAATCAAGGTCTCTCTTTCCAATGATTAAAAAAAAGGGAGTTTTTATATGTTCTTGATTTTGTCAAAGGGACACCTCAATAAAAGCTCAACAACAAAATGTCTTATTTTTGTAAAATGCTTCTGTGGTTGATACCACAGTCAGCTGCACTAGTGTGGGTAAAAATACACCTGAGGGAGAATGTCCATTCAGGTTTAGCACAGGACATCCAGACCCAGAACTCCAGAGCTACCCACTAGCTATCCAGGAGAGAATACATCAGTTGAACTACAATGCACCACATAAAATAAAAACTTCTGTTTGTCCAGGTTGGCAGATATATTCAGGGCCAACCAGATAGGATTCTTCTCAAATTAGATTTTGAAGGACCAGGCTGGAAAAAAAAGAATGAATGCCATTTTAAGTCTTTAAGTTCTAAGAATTCCTCATGTCCAGCTAAATTACTGAACATTTCCACTTAGTAACTATACTCTGATAAGAAAGTCAAAATATCAAAAACCAAATTAAAAAATCTTCCTTCCAAAGTCAGTCCTTTTCACGGACATCTATTTTTGTTAAAAGTGGTACCATCCTGAGTTATCTGAGCTTGCAATTTTGAAGTCATTTTAAACTTATTTCTCTTCCTATTTTCTCCACATCCAATTGGTTTCCACATTTTCTTATTTTTTTTTCTTTATTCATTTATTGAATGCTAATTGTGTGCCACGTGCTGTGTCTGGCCTTGAAGATACCTGGGATACAAAGAAAATAAGACACAGTCATGTGCTCTGTAAGGAGCTTACAGTCTAGTGAGAGAGCTATACCAGTAAGATTATACTACTGTGACGGCCACAACAGAATAAGCATGGGTGTCACAGAAGGACATAGGAAGGCAGTGAGATTCCCTAAAAAGGTGAAGTGGGAAAGAAGGACTTTGTGGGTCAAGAGGGTTACATGTACTAATGTCTGGTGTGAGAGTGCATGGAATGTTCTGGCACTTACAGACGTAGGGATGGTAAGAGAAGGGGACAGGAGCATGTAGAATTGGATCTTCCTCCTCAGCAAAGAATTAGATTACAGAGCAAACAGAAGAGCTCAGATTGAGGCTAGACTGTATTCTTTTATAAGCTGTTCAGTGATTAGTAATTCACATGTGACCTCTTAGTTTGCAAACAATAATCACAAAAGTTGAAATGTGTAATTTGGAGAAGAGACTGTGAAGCCATTATTTTAGCCTACTTTTCGTATATGTTCTGAGGTTCTCACATACAGAGAGTTACTTGGAGGGGGACCATTTCTACCCCAACCGACCCTCACTCCCTAGTGGCTTCTACTAGGTTCCACTTAAGGTGCTGTCTTTGCTTATCTTACAAGGATTTTAGCTGCCTAGTAATCATTGTCAGACTGGGAGCTTTTTAAATTTAATTTATTATTATTATTATTTAATTGTAAGTTTGCTTTCCAATAATTCGTTACCGGGATATACAAATATATTTGGTTTTCACATTCTTTTATTTTATTTTATTTTATTTTATTTTATTTTATTTTATTTTATTTTATTTTATTTATTTATTCATGAGAGACAGAGGGGGGGGCAGAGACACAGGCAGAGGGAGAAGCAGGCTCCATGCACGGAGCCCAACACGGGACTCGATCCCGGGTCCCCAGGATCACGCCCTGGGCCAAAGGCAGGTGCTAAACAGCTGAGCCACCCAGGGATCTCCTTTTATGTTAGGTCAGGGAGCCTGGATTGTAGCCTACTCTGCAAAAGAATTTTAACTTGGACAGTGACACAATCAGATGTGTTTTTCATAAATAACAAGCAAAAATCCAGCCAAGGGCTTGAGCATATGTGGTTACAGTGGGAGACAAAGAGAAAGGGGCAAATCTCATTGAAATGAGAAGGACATGGCAGTTGCTGGGTGTGGAGGGGTGAAAGGAAGGGAGAAGTCCATGATGACTCCTGGTTTCTAGCTTGGATCCCTAAGTGCCTGGAATACAAGATGGGTATACAAGAATCTTAACAAATATCTCCTCAAGATATTTAACAAATATTTCCTCAAGATATTATATAATCCTTTGATTATGTGAGGAAGTCTAAATGCCTATGTTGAGCATATAAGGCCTGGGCAATTAGGTGGGAGTGTGCCTACCTACCTATCTTACTATTTTGCTAAAGGAAACTTCCATTCCAGGCAGCTGGCCTAATCCACCATTCTCAAAGTATGTCATGTACAATCTTGCCTCTGTGCCATTTCTCATGTGATTCTACTCTCCTAGAATACCACCCCTCCCAATTTTGCTATCTGAATGCTGGCTATTCTTTAAGGTCCAGCTAACAACTCACCTCTTCAAAAAGCTTTCTCTCGGAACTAAATTCTTTACTGATTTTTTAAAAAGATTTATTTATTTATTTTTATTTGTGTTAGACATAGAGAGAGAAAGAGGCAGAGACACAGGAGGAGGGAGAAGCAGGCTCCATGCCGGGAGCCCGACGTGGGACTCGATCCCGCGACTCCAGGATCACGCCCTGGGTCAAAGGCAGGCGCCAAACCGCTGAGCCACCCAGGGATCCCTCTTTACTGATTTTTGTACTGCTTAACTTATATGTATTATATATACCATTGTACTGTTAGTTTTATTTCTCTGGCACCAAAAGGGCAGGCACAGTTATAGATAGATCTTTTCTTCCTTAGCACCAGCATAGTGACTTTCACACAGAAGATTCTCAAAAATGTGATCTAACAGATATATACTTAAACTGACTTCATTTGTGATTATTAAAGCTATAGTATAATTTGTATATTAATTCTCCTTATCATTCTTCAGCATATCAAGGCCACTACAGTTAAACAGATATACATTTCAGAAAAAGATGAGTATGTAGTAAGTGCTAGAAAATGGTTAGGATGATCACAATAAAAAGATGGTGAGGTCTTTGGAAAGGAGCACTTTCATAAAGAAAAGAGGACACAGATGAGAGATACGATGAAAATAAAAAGGCAAATCAAGAATGGCTTTTTCCTATGAAAAAGAAAGAAAAGGTGAGTTATGATTTATAAGCCAATAATAGTGGCTGGTGAACTCTATATGGAAGAGAAAAGGAGATAAATAAGAGTTGTGGAAACTGGAGAAAATAAACATAGCTATTCTAAACTAGTATCTTTCAGGGCTCTTACAAAATAATGTCTTGTTAACAGACAAATGAAATGCTAACATTAAAATATAAGAGAAAATAAAGCATAAAGGAACTAGAAAAATATTATTGTTTGAAAGGAGCTCTGTTGCAAAGCTGGTAATCTAGAAGCTCAAAGAAGCTGTGGATCAATGTCTATCCCCTAAAAATGTCCTGACTGTAAGCAAATAGATGTCAGAGTACAGATAGGAAACAGACAACTGAGCAGGGAAGGGATGGAATGTAGAGGCAGGGGAGCAAGAGTCTGTTCAGGTGTTTATCCTCAAACCATTAGGAGGAGGGCTAGGAAGCCTCCTCCCTGTGAGCACTGGGATAGCAGAGAAATTATTTCTTGTTATCCTGTGACTTTTTACATTTGACTTTACTTTTCAAAATTATGTAGAGCCTATTATTGGAACAAGTCAGGTTGTATACGTATATACCAATGTTTTAATTCTGTGTCATTATCTGCCAGGTATTTTTTTGTATTTGAGAGAGCTTAATGTACTATACTTGGGCCCAAGTCATTTTATGTAAAGGGTAAAATTTGTTAAAAATTGCAAAAATAAACACATCTTCTTCAAGGTCAGTATGATAACTCAAACCATCATGCTTAGCTGCTTAGTCTCCCCAGATAGCCATATTAGGTCTCCCTTAAAGCACCCTTGCTTTTAAAAGGCATTTTAAAAACCAAGAAACAGACTCTTAATTATAGAGAACAAATTGATGGTTTCTGGGGCAGAGAGGGTGGGAGATGGGTGAAATAGGTGATAGGGATTCAAGAGTGCACTTGTGATGAGCACCGGGTATTGTATGGAACTGTTGAATTACTGTATTGTACACCTGAAACTACTATTACACTGTATGTTAACTAACTGGAATTTAAATACAAACTCTAAAATAAACTAAAATAAGCATTTTAAGAGCACCAAAAGAAGCTCCCACTAGAGGGCGCTCCAACCATTTTAGTATAGGGCTGTTAAGATTAACGCTTGAATATAGAGACATACATTCACGGAAATTTTTTTCAAATGAGAAAAGACAGGGACAGTTGCCCATGCTATATGACTTCATAAGCAGTTTTCTGTAGTTACCTAAAATGAAGGCTTGTGCTTCATGTCTTTTTTCCCCCTTTTGCTTTTGTAGAAATAGCTTTTCCCTAGAGATAAAATTAAAATAATCCATCTCAATAAAAGAACACAGCTGTTGTGGCCACGGCTGCTGCTCTACCCCACCAACATAAACGTCCACCTGATGTCAGTGACATATAGTCTTAAGACAGAAAAAACCCTGGCTGCTACTCAAATATTATGTAGTTTGCTGCAGGTCAGTCAAGTTGGTTAACAGTTTTCCTTTGCTGTAGTCAGCCTCAGGCTCACAAATGTAGGGTCCTAGAATATTCAAAATTACTTAAAATGTAAGAAGTTACAGTTCTTTCTGGCTCGTATCTCTTATAGAACAGACTACTTCCTTTTTTCAGTCTCCCAGCTTATTCAAAGTTCTCTCTCAAACAACTGTAAGAATCATCTCACTTCTTGCTACTTTCAGAGACTGTTAGATGACTGACAATGCTGATCTCAACAGCTAAAGACACCTCTGACAAGGGCTGTGCAGTATCTCTATTCTTTCTACCCCTGGTACAAACCCAGTTAAGGCCTTTTCAGGTCTGACACACTGGAGTGAAAGAAGCTAGATGAATGAAAGAACGTGTACACATTTCAAGTTCTTGAATTCTGTTACTGTTACATGCTGATTTAAAGTAACAATAATAATAATAGATAATTGGACCACCCAGCTGAAGTCTTGGTTTTACAGGTGGGAAAAGGAGAGGGCTCCCTGCATGGAGCCTGCTTCTCCCTCTGCCTGTGTCTCTGCCTCTCTCTCTGTGTGTGTGTGTGTGTGTGTGTGTGTGTGTCTCATGAATAAATAAATCTTTTTTTTTTTTTAAAGAAGAAATCTCATCAAATTTGAAGATCTTTTTACTGCTTAGAGACTTGTAAGATAAGGACTACAGAAAAAATTTGTGTGTGGTTATAAATAGTTGTGAATCACTAAATTTTACTTGTTGAAATAAAGGGTAAAGGAAAATTAATAAATGAGTAAAATAAGTGACCTTTATAAAGGATGTTGTGAGAACCAGATAATTCTTTGCCTAGTTGCCTAGTCCCAGAGTGACTGCTCATATACTTACTTTCTCCACATGGCAATGAACGACTGTGCGGACACAAATCCTGTCCTCTCTCCCCCGGCAGCCCTGAACATGGGTGCTTTCCAATAGAGAGGACAGCCGCAGAGCTGCAAATAAAACACAGAGACAGTGTAAGCCAAGGGGTGAAAGGTGAAAAGGTGACACAGCCAAACAATGGGCCTTTGTAGCTTTTACACTTCATGTCACAGTGGACAGAGGCAAATATATCAGCTATGGCAGATTCAGAGAGGACAGAGGGGAAACAAGAGGATTACAAGTTTAATGAAGGAAAGGGAAATCCATTTACCTTTTCTCCAAGTTCCTTTATAGTGATGTGTCTTTCCCTTTCCCAACAGTTAAAGCAACCAGTTTGCCTTCCTACCACTCTGACATAGTATATTTTCTACTTTCTAAAAACAAGAATGACTGAATGTCATAGTTGTATATGCCCTTCCTTCCCACTGCAGAAAAATAGAGTCACATTTATTACTTGGTCACTTGGTGTTAATATACTCTCCAACTCATCTCCCTCTCTCTCCTTTGCCTATTACATTATTAAGCCCTTGGGTCAGAAGAATCAGAAGAATCTAGATTGCTCAAGAAAATAGCTATTTACTTAAACAGTTACAATTCAGGTAAAAGATTAAAGATAAAAATAAAAATGCTATCATTTATTTAAACATTAGAAACTACCAGAAATGGGGATCCTTGGGTGGCTCAGCAGTTTAGTGTCTGCCTTCAGCCTGAGGCATGATCCTGGAGTCCTGGGATCGAGTCCCACATGCGGCTCCCCACATGGAGCTTGCTTCTCCCTCTGCATGTGTCTTTGCCTCTCTCTCTCTCTGTGTCTCTCATGAATAAATAAAATCTTAAAGAAAGAAAGAAAGAAAGAAAGAAAGAAAGAAAGAAAGAAAGAAAGAAAGAAAGAAAGAAAGAAACTGCCACAAATGTCTACATCTTCTAAAAGCTTGAGGAGGAACTGGGAATGAATATAAAACTACAATATATAATACATAATACTCTAAAAGGTGTTTTTTCTTTAATAAAAAGCTCTTTCTTTCAATTAATTATACTCTTACAAAAGAGTTCTTACCAAATTTGCCTGCTTTTTCCTAGTAGGAAAATTCTTTCGAGTAATAATAATATCTAAATAATAACAGAGAAATAGCCTCCATATGTTCCCAATTTTGTACATGCATGTAAGACATATTCCCAAACTTGGAATCCTTCAGAGTCACATCTTGTTATTAAGTAGTCTTATTATTCATATTAGACACAGGGTCTGTTGGACCTTCATCATGCTACAAAGGGAAGCATTTCCTTTGGAGGTTGACTAGATGTGAATCCACATGAGGTTCTGGTGAAGCTGCTCCTGGTGTGAGGCCGCAGTGCATGGGAATCCCCACAGAAGTGTGAGGAGCACCTGGTCTGAGGTTATGAGGCTGAGTTACGCTGAGAGAACACCCCAAGGCTGCTGGATTCATGTTGGAGATGAGGATATGGAAGGTAAGATTTGATCCAAGGAAGGTAAGTACAGGGCAGAAATCATAACTGCTCCTGTTGGGGCCACTAAAGCATGTTCTGCAAACAGGGTGGAACTTCAGATTTCTTAAGTCCAGAGGGCAAATACCTCCACTGAGGTCAAGAATGAGGGAAAGGTGTTGCTTAGTAACCAATGGATTTTGTTTATTGGGTAAATTATGATTGCCAAAGTACAAAGCTCACAATTAATATACTTTGGGGTGGTAAACTGTCAAATCCACTTTCCAATCCCAATCCTCCCTTTCATGCAGAATGGTAGTCTGCCAAGAAAATGCTCTTAGATGTGACAGGCTACTGGCAACTGTGAGGAAAGCTTGAAAGAACAGTCTGTATTGTAGAGGTGGGGGTGCAGAGTCCCAAACAGAGAAAGTAAGTACAGGGAGAGATTGGAACTGGCTTGCCAAAGTGCTTAAAACTCCCACCATTATAGTCACTCATGGATTTTTCAGAATTGGAAGGAATCTTCTAGCTCAACCCTGGGAAATGGTCACTAGCCTAAGCTGAAACACTACCAGGGACTGTGTGTTTTTTACCACATTCTGTGGAGCTACTTCCACTATTAGACAGCTTTCCTTCGCTTGGATTATAGTATTTTCTCTAGAAGACTCCTGTTAAAATGCATATGTATCAGCTCCTAAGGAGTAGTAAGTTGGTGAGAGATTGGCACACAAATTTATTATGACTCAAAGGCAAACTCATAAGAGATAAAGTATACAATGGGTATGTTTTAAAATAGATTGGGGGCGCCTCAGTGGCACAGTTGCTTAAGCATTTGACTCCTGATTTCCGCTCAGGTCATGATATCAGAGTTGTGAGATCAAGCCCCACATAGGGCTCTGTGCTCAGCGAGGGGTCTGCTTAAGTCTGTCTCCCCTTCTCCTCTACTTCTCCTCCCACTCTGTCTCTCTCTCAAATAAATAATCTTTTAAAAAATAAAATAAAGTATATTGGAAAGGGCTGGCCTCTTTTTCTCATAGTGGGGCACCCTAAGTAGCCATATGTCAGGCAGCATGAGAGTATTAGCCTTTGGAGAAAATGGCAGAGAAAACAAATGCAATGCAGACATTATAGTTTGGCTATTAAAAAAAAAATGTATGGCTGGCTGTATCTGATTAAAACCAAAGAATTAAGATAAAAGGAGTTAGGAGATAAGAACCTAAAAAAGTAAATGATATTAATCTGAGGGCAACAGAATAGAGACTTTAATACCAGAGCACAGAACAAGCCAGTGTCAAGACTTTTTACAAAGGAAAAGAATGGATGACAAGTGGGGATATGGAGGGAGATACAGAAAATAGGTTTAGGAAACTCAGAGGAGGAGGCAAACGTCAGTCTATGGTAATCAAAGTTGATGGAGTAAGGAAAATTTAACACCTATAATTTGATCTAAGAATCGTCCAACAACATAAAGAATTAAAAGCAAGGTTGTCTAAAGAGTCACACAGGAGGAGATGATTACTTAATACCTGCAATGTTCTTTAACATTTTAAAATGTCTTATGCCTATTATTTCATTTGATCATCACATGATCCCCATGCTGAAGAGGGCAGGTATTTTCAGCCCATTCTGCAGATGAAGAAATATAGGTACTGAGAAGCTGCCTTACACGACACAGAAATGATAGGTCAAGACAGTGCTACCTCAGCCTGAAGAGAGAAGCTGATGGTCTCTGTACAGTTCAGAAGACACTTTCACTCCTCTTCTTCAACTTTCTGCTAAAGGCTAAAACTCCATGGTTGGTCTTCTGGCCCAGAGGACAAATGCTTTTCTTACGGTTTCTCAGTGTATGTTCCTGCACTGCTTTTCGTAGATTCATTCTCTATATTAATTTCTTGTCATCACTTAAAGCTGTGGCAAATAGTACACACTACATATTGAGAACTTAATCAGAAATGGATATTAATCTCTCCAGGGATGTTGGAGGTCAGGGATGAATGAGTTAAACTTCATCAACAGATGCAGATTTCATAAACACAGCGTTTTCTTTGCACTTCAAAAAACAGACCTTAGTATCTACTACAATTGTCACTAAGACTGCAAACTCAAGGTGGTCATCCAAATGGCTTTATAGACTATAAGAACTCAGGGAAGTCTTCATTTATTGCTGCAACCCCCTCTCTTCATTGTCCCTTAATGGCTTTCTTCTCCTTTACCTACAACCAACTTGTTACGAGAATATAAGCACATGCAGTGCAAGTGCTACAGACATGGAGCTCACTGCCTAATGGCAGGGAAGACTGAGCTACATGTAAAAAATAACTGAAAATAGGATTGCTTAGTGAGTGTTAATAGCCATAGCCAAGTAAAAGCTAGATTAAATGGGAATTATCTAAATCCAAGAAATAATTACATAAATTTTTCAAATAAGCAATTTTTAGCTAAACTTGTGGTGAGCACAGTGTAATGTGTAGATGTGTCAAATCACTACATCTTACACCTGAAGCTAATGTCTAACACTACGTGTCAGTTATATATCAACAAAAATATTAATCAAAAAATAAATGATTTTTAAAATGAAGAGGCAAAATGCAATAAAATGTACTGACAGAGTAAGGCAAAACACAACAGTATCAGCCAAGGCACTGTGATACCTACTGAGGTCATTATACACCCATCTTCATTTTTATATGCAATGTTAGTTTTAACTTTTTGGAGGTATGAGCAATTTACCTTGCTGCCTGAGCTGACAATTAAGGTCTAAGAGGAATCAACATAAATGCTTGGTATGTAGGGTTATAATCAAGTATGATTCAGACAAGTTAATCACATACGTATATGTATACCGGCTATTGTGCCACATGATGATTAGGTATTAGCAGTAAATTGCTATATAAATGACAGTTACTATGGCTAAACAAAATTTTCTTTTTAAATTTCTCTACGTTGTCAGCTTCAACACTGGCAGTTTTTCCTGATGTCACATAACAGATTGATGCTCATTACCTGTAAAATAGCAAAGTCTTTCGTCTGACTCCCCAGCATGCAGAGACCCCTATCCTGACCGGACTACACTCTTTTCTACGCTTCCCTTGACCATCTGTGGAGTCCTTAGGTTTTCTTCTTTCTTCTACTGAATCCATGGAATGCTAGAGGGTTACTGAACCATGGAGCAGGGCAGGCCTACCACGGTAGAGGTGGAAGGGACACAGCAGGAGGATGGAGACAAGGCTGTGGAAAGGTAGAACAGGATCCTCAGTCAGGAGGTGGGCATATTCAGAGGAGGAAGGTTGATCTACGGAACTTGTAGTCCAAACAGAACAGACTAGAGGTCTCTGACAGGGAGGCACAAATCACTTGGATTGGCTGTCCAGGTGTGGTATGCCCAGCACACCAGGGAACTACTATGTTCCTGAATCTGGACAGTTTCTCCTTGTCTGCCTGCCTGAAGTAGACCACAGAACTGCTTGTTTCTCTCACACAGACTGTTAGCATGTTAGAAATAACCATTTGGCATTTATGCAGTTAATGTGTTATCTCTAAATGCAGATTAAATTCAGCCTTACTAAATTCTGTCTCCTGGATTTAGATTCATAATTCCACCCCATTCAGACAATTTACCATCTTGGCTCATACAGTTGCCATCTCTCAAAGCTTTTGGTAAGAAAATGCCAATGCCCTGAAAGAACCTGTAATTTATTTGGGTGGATATTGATTGGAAGTTAGCTAATGGCATGTCAGCATATGTTCAGGGGAGATAACACACAGTACAAACAGCACAATGCCCAGAGTTAGAGGACTAGTCTCCTGACATGTGCTGGTTCTATGATTTCAGGTTAAGTACTAATAGGACTTCAGTTTCCTCAAGTCTAAAATAAGATTGGAAATAGGCAGGCTTTTATTTCTTCAATGAGAGTTTGCTTTTCCTTAGAAATATCTAAGAGATCAATAGGCAAGTTTTAAGATAGGGGAGGCGTGAGGGTGAGAATAAAAGAAAGAATTCCTTTTCATTTCCCCTAAAATCACTCTATTTACAAATTATTTAACAGAGTAACAAATGTCTGAATGCATGGGGTCTTAGGAGGTTCCACTTGGTATACTTGCCCACATGCAACATTTAGTAGTACTAAACCCCTCTGCCTCTTGAAGCACAACCTGAAACCACTGCTAAATCCTGAGATATGACTTTATTCTTCAATTTGCATGCAAGATAAAAATAAAACTCAAACAAAACAAAGTACTGCTATAGACGGTGAGCTGGGGCATATTGCTGAGCTGGGGAATGGCATGATCAAACATAACCTGATGCTCATGCTCAGTATTAATTGTTTGAGGAGGAGACTGGAGAGGTAGCATCCAGTTACTGAAGATGTTCAGTAGTCCCAGAATGAAAGGCTAAGATACTAAATTAGAAGCAGTTGGGTATATTGGAAAGTATCAAAGACTTGGTTCCTAGTGGTGAATCCATTTATTTCTGAGTAGAATTAGTATTGAGCTGGCCCAATGATTCCTTGTCTGACTTCAGGGCAGAGTGATGATCAGTGGGTGAGAACAAAAGAAAAAAGACATTTATACTCAATACAAGGGAAATTTTTCTAACACGTTAGGCTATTTAATGATGGAACAGGTTGCTTGGCAAGACAGTGAGCTTCCTGTCACTGAAAGCATTCAAGCAGAGAATCAATTTATGTGTTGATGATGTCATGGATGAAATTCCTATATTAAATGGGAGGATGTACTGGGAGACCATTAAGGTTTTATTCAAACTTATGGAGTTCCATGAAATGGATGACATATCCAAGATGATATAGATGGATCAAATAAATTTTTTCAACATGGGGGAAAAACCTAGCCATGCTTAAAAACAGAAAGCAAAGAGACAGTGAGGAGAGAGAGAGAGATTAGGATTGCCAGAGAAAGAGAGATTATATATCATTTAGTAGTTATATTACCTTTGCAATTTTTCCCATTTCATAGATGTCTGCTTTCTGATCTTCAATATCCATGAAAGCAGTTTCAATTTTGCTTAGAGTCTGTTCATGGTTACTGCAGGCATCTGGGAGTCCTTCGGGAAAGTAGAACTGTGGAATGTTTATGGACAATGGTGCATTCACAACATTATTCACATGAGGAACAGGGGAGAGAGGTCGGGGACTACTTGGAAAGGTGGCTGTAGGTGGAAGTGGCGTTCCAGGTTTCTTTTCTGGTTTATTTTGAATCTGGAAGGAAAATGTGATTATGAAACACAAAAATTCTCAACAGCATATACTTCTTGAAAGTCCTCATCAGTAATAAGTAATAAGAATAGAGAGAGCAGAGATGAAGAAATCACTCTATTACTAGGGTGATAAGTGTGCTTCTAGGGAATGCCTATCCATAAAAAATAAACATATTAATTATCTGTCAATATTCAAATTTAAACAGATTTATGCTTTAAAAATCCTACAGTACATTTTCCCATCAATTATGTTCTAGACATTTAAGAGCAATGTTAGCTGACATATTAAGGAGTATTCAAATGTATTCTTAGTCTGTTGGAATTGGAGTAGTAAATTCTTTCTGAAGACTGTTCATCTTTCTGCACATTTCTACTTCTACTTTGACAGGCAGATAAGAGTAAGTTCTTTTAAAATGCACGGTGTCTTTTCACCTTCTTCTCTCTAGTTTGACTTTGTTTAGGTAAAATCACTGCCAGTCCCTGATGCAGAGAAAGCCTTTGTTAAGAAAATTAAAGCATCTTAGTTTTGGAATGTCTTCTATCAGGTTGATTTACTTGCCCATTGGGGCATGCGATTTTTTCCTATGATACACACTTCTTTCATTTTAGGTACACTCTAATAATAGGCAGGGATCACGGTCATCAATTTCATTGCAGCTAAACTCCCTTCAGAGTTTATTAACTCATTTATAGTTTATATCCTTCCTTTGTCTAAAAAAGATTTCACGTGGTATGCCATAAAGAAACATAAGAAAGGACAGTATAAAGGGGGGACAGGCAGGCAATGAGGAGATTAAGATTATCCGTGATTTAGGGAAAGGGGAGAGGAGGTTCACTAACATTCAGGTAAAAGTCTACTTTACCAATGAAGACTAAATTTAGTTTGGAGATTCCTAGCAGAAAAAGCAAAAAAGATTCCAGAGTTTTAATTTCTTCTCTTAATTTTGATCAAATTATCTATCAAGGCTCATGAGCATGGCACTGTGTTAGATACTACATAAGGTTATCAAAGAGTGACATGACTGTTGATCATCATGAACACAAAATATAACCCAAATGTTAACTTTCCTTAAATAATCTGAATGCCACTCCTAAAGTTTGAACAATGATTTATTTCTAAGTAGTAGATCTGAATATCATATTTCCTTTTGACATATGGGCTCATAACAGATCTTTAAACTCAGGATAAAAATCTTGGCTACCCTTGAAAAACATAAGTATTACAGGAAGATAGCTTCATTCACACAAATATGTGATGAATATGATTTAGTCTTTTGTCACACATGACACATTCTTAGATTAATATCTGACACTAATACATAGAGTCCACTCATATATTAATACTACTGGGGATATAAAGACCAGTTGGTCATACCAAGATTTTGCTGCAATATAAGCATGTCATCCCTATAAAGCAACAGTCAAAGAAAACATGGCACAGAGAAAAGTGAGGCTAATGAATTATGAAAAACGTAAAAGAAAACAGTGATAGCTTACTAGCTCTGTGACCTCAGGAAAATTACTTAACCTTTTAGAATTCAGTAATAAAACAGATTATAACACTTCTTGGAAGGTTGCTGTGAAGATTAAAGGCAATTACAGGACGTAACTAATATAGGTAAAGGGTTCAGAACTGTGCTAGACACAGATATGTCCTTATTTAAGAGCCACAAGGCTAAAGGGTGAGGTTCTTAAAAGGCTAAATATAATTTGGCATGGTCCTTCAGATTCAACAAGAAATAAAAGAATTGTTTACATTTGTAAAACAATTTAAAGTTTACAAACCAATTTTGATTTGACAAATTGATAATCGGTTTGTAAACATTTCTCTCTGCTTTAATGCTAAATCTGTAAATATTATTACATAGTCCCATGAGTCAGTAACAGCAGAAATTGTTCCTAATCTTCTACAGGCCATATAATTCTTCAGGGGCTTTACATTTATATATAATAGGTCATTTATATTAGTGTTATCCCCTTTCTGTTATTCTATGCTGAAACAGGTCTGTGAGACTACAAGTGTACAATCATGAAAATTCTTTTTTTGTTTCCCCAAAATGTTTCCCATGGTGAGACATCCAGGCAGTTATAACAGTAGGACTAAGACCACTGGTGCCAGTGGGGATGAAACCCAATAGTTTAGTGAACACACACAAGCAGAGGTTTAAAGCAAGGCCTTCTATGATAACTCTACACTTTTGCTTCAACAGAAGTAACAAATGAGAACAAACCCTGCTATCTGTCAAAGTTTTTATTTAAATGGGTATTCAATTATATAATCTACTTTGCTTTCCTTAGTGTACCTCTTACCATTAAGCAATTCACTGATAGGAAAGTATTTATCAATTCATTGGTCAATCCCATATTTAACAAAATTGATGTTAATATTTAAAAGGGAAAAGAAAAAATGCATTTATTTTGTACTTTTATATGTTATCAATTTACTTTTCACTGAATTCAATACAAGACACATAATTTAAAGTAGTTTAATAAAGCTGACCTTTATAAATACTATAGAATAAGACAGTTAAATAAAATTTGGCAGATTTACTGGCAAGTTCAGCATCTGCTCATTTTGAATAGAATGGTTTCATTCAAATTGAGAAATAGCATTAAAATAGAACTATTAGGGGAAAATGTCTCAATTCTCCATTTCATTCTCCATTTATTAGCCTATAAATATAGTATCATTTAGTTAGTACCCTTATACTATTATGTCACTGTAGCATTTCCAATATTTGGCCATTTTTTATTTAAAAAAAAAAGCAATTTCATATGGTTCACTCAATCTGAAATCACTCTGAATCAGAATAACTATGAAACTATGGTTTTTACTGGATTCTGGGTGGCCATCACTTGTATGACCCTTGATTTGTATTGCATTCAAGGTAAGGCAAATTGTTTGATACAACACTGGCCCTAGGTATAAGCAAGTAAGCATGGGTTCTGCAAAGTTATCATCATAGGCAGAAATGACTCAGTATCACAGCTTGCTGAGGGAGGACATTCCTTCACAACCCAGAAATTAATTGCCATCCTTTGTTAGTTTCATACATTATATCACACCCACACAATTGTCTATATATATAATTAGTTCTTCCTGCAAAAAAAGATTACCAGGCCTGATACTTTAAAAACAATTCATTACAGATGTATTACAAACATCGTCTATTGATTCAAAGTGTAAATAAGGCTTTTAACACAGAAATTCTAGTTTCTCAAAGACATTTCTACTAAAATTTGTAAACTGTAAGATATTTATTGAGGTGTATTTATTGTCTCTAAAACTGGATTCCCTCTCTACAAGAGAAAAATGTGAGTACTGTACCTCAGGTCCAGAAGATCTATTTTTAAACCTGTTGGAATCTCTCTACAAATAGCTTTCTGCAAATAGCTGAATAGAGGACACAGATTAATTCCTTGATCTAATATCAAGTGAGCTGTAAAATTATTTGTAAGTTAGTTCACTGGGTGGTTTTATTAGTAATAAAAATATTTTAAAAGAAACACCCAAGTTCCAAACCTGAGTCTGCTGAAATGACTTCAGCCGCTTCTTAAACCGTGACGGGAGAACAAAATCACAGCCCCTGGCCAGGAAAGCTAACTCTCCCCTTAAATCCGGGTCCCTTCGTAGAGATGTTTCCTTGATCATCATCTTTGAAAAGTGGATGTTTACTTAGCCACTGTCCAGCACACTTCTGAAGACGGTCAGATTTAATAAGTTGTCAATCTTGTCGGGTAGAAAGGTATTTTCTTCTTATCTCCAAAGGAAATTAAGTTCAAGCATTGTGCTCTCCCAGTCTCCAGGGACCACAATCCATGCTTGTTCTGACATGCAACTGGTTTCCAAATATAGCCAGTGGCTCCCAATACCTGCTCATAATTTTCAAGTTAGAAACACGCCTGCTATGGGCCTGTTGCTCCTTGTAGATAGCTTTATGTCAAATTGACCTGCACATGTTGAGAATACAGAGCCTTCTGGGAAAGGAAGCACCCACTACTCTAGCACCAAAGTTAGAAACATTACAGCTGGACCTAAAAATAGCAACTTCTCAGATAATGCCACCTTCTTAAACTCAGAGTATGTGAAGTGTCAATCCACATAAATCAGTTTCTCCGCAAACTATTAGAAAAAAGAACATGTTGAGCATTTTTAGTTTTGCTATTTAGTGTTTTATGAAAAAACAAGTTATACTTCAAATTTGAACCTACCATTTTAAGAAGTTTTTTTTTTTTTTTCTGATTTGAAGGGAAGCAAATATCCACAACCCTCTAGATATATCCAGTTAAAATATGGAGAAAAACTTTCATCCTAATAGTAATAGTAGAAAGAGATTTGTTGGCCTTATATTTTAAAATTAAATCCTTTTCGGGGGGCTTACGTGCAGAAGACTATCTCAGTTTCCAACACACTGTTGAAGTGATTCTGGATCTGGGCACATTTGAAAATTTATTGTCAAAGTGTGGGTTAAGAAAGTCGAACAACTGGGGGTACCTGGATGGCTCAGTCAGTTGGGCATTTGCCTCTTGGTTTTAGCCCAGGTCATGATCTTGAGGTTGTGGGATTGAGGGCTCCTCACTCAGCACAAGTCTGCTTAAGATTCTGTCTCTCCCTCTCCTCCTGTCCCTCCCCAAACTGCACACTCTCTCTCTTTCAAAATAAATAAATTAATAAAATATTTAAAAAAAAAAAGTGGGATAGCTGAATGCCATAAGAAAGCAGCTTAGCTACAGTAAAGGTACGAAAGATGATCAAATAGTAATGACATAATATGTCTGGAATTTGTGAGACTTTCTTCTTCAAGGTGTTTTAAATCATCTCAGATTTGTAAAATATTCTATTTTATTATATGCTAAACAACTGTCACATAGTCATTTACAAATAAATCTTTTTTTTTACAAATAAATCTTTAAACATCCTCTTCAATCTCATTTTCGATCACATTATTGATCTGTATTTATTTTCTATTTCTAGAAAATATAAACCAAATATAATTACCA